TGAGAAATGTTGCAGCCAAAAATAGAAAATCAACATATTGCTTAAGGAGTATTAAATTTCTTACAAGGTAATAAATAAACGTCACAATCAAATATAGAAAAATCAAAACGTGCTTGACAAATCAGCAGGAAAAAAATCAGCAATATCAATTAATTGTCCATAGATTTACCACAAGCAACATGTTATGCCTTTATGTAACAAATTATCCATCAAATAGCAATACTTTTTTTTTTTCCCGCAAAGTGCAAAGCAATAGCAAATCTAAGACTTCCTTTATTTCGTGACAATAAATAATTTTTATATATCAATAATAACTATAATATATATAAAAGTGAGAATGGGAGGGGAACATTAGGATTCTCAAAAATGTCCCTGCTAAGTTTATGTATTAACAAAAATATCATTTAAAGATTTTAATTTGATTGGTTAAAAAAAAAAGGAAATTTAATTTTGATTGATATGTTAATTTTATATTTAAATCTAAAATTTATTGGATAAAATAAGAAATTATATTATATACTATATATTATATACTATATAAAGTATATAGGAAAATAAGATAATACTATTTGTTTCTACATTTCTTATTACGCAATATAAGTTAAAAAAAAATATTTTAAATCCATTATAAATTTAATATATATATATAATTATTGAATTTCATAAAATTCAGGCTTTAGACGTATAATTTTCTATTTGTATCAAAATTTACTAATAAAAATTATGTCTAAAATGCTAAAGGACACTTTTTTGTACGCTAACAAACCAATAAAGTCCAGACTAACAGCCAAAATAAAGATCCTTTACATCCGGATTTGGACCTCACCCTTACCCCTCTTTAATTTGTTGCCTCATTAAAGAATACAAAATTTCTAGCAAAAATAATTTTGTAATTTGTATTTGACATGTTGCTACCAAATATAAAAAATCAACATGTTGATTAAGGAGTATTAAATTTCTTACAAGATAACAAATAAACATTGGAATCAAATATAAAAGAATTAATTTGTATTTGACAACTCTAAATGGAAAAAACTCAGCTATAACAATTAATTGTCTTGTCTATATATTACTAATAAACAATATGTTATGTCTTTATGTAGGAAACTATCATTAAACAGTGACACTCTTCCGCCCGCACAGTGCAAAGTATAAGAAAATCTACATCCATTTTTGCTCGATAATAAATAAACTTTCAGTAGATCTATAAGTGGGATGGTAGGTATATTGGTAGGTATATATTGAGATTATCGAAAACTACTCCATTTATATATATTATAAATATTATTATAATTTTGTCATGAAAATTTGATTGCTAAATTATAATAATATATTTTATTATAAATATGTCTAAAATCCTTATAAAATTTAATATATAATCATTAATTTTCATCAAACTTAATATGTACTTGACAATTTAATTTAATATAGAAAATCAATCTATTCATTGAGGAGTATTAAATTTCTTATAATGTAATATATAAACGTTCCAATCAAATATAAAAAAAAATCAATTTGACTTGACAATTCTAAAGGAAAGAATCGGCTATATCATTTAATTATCCATATATGGGAAAATAATTTTTTAGTCCTTCAAATTTGCCATAATTGTCTAAGTACTCCCTCACATTTTATATAATATTTAAGTCATCCCTCACATTTGTCTCCGTCTAATTAAAAGGTCCCGTTAAAATGAGGTAAAAAGACAAAAACACCCTTATGCTGATGTGGACAACTTCTTAAAAAAGTTAGTCTCCTCCCCACATGAAGACTTCTCTCTCACAGACGCTCTCAATTTCTAGAAACTACAATGTACCATTCATCTCAGATTCTTTGTGTTTTCATTTCATTATTTCAAAGTGATTGCAATTGAAAATGACCTCTTCGGTTGTTGGCCAATTCGCAAGTGGGAGCTGTACTAGTTTGGGGTGTCCAACAATTGGCAGGTTCGATTCTGAATTGAACCAAACCAAAAAAAAAAATACTGAAAAGATTTAATTTAATTGATTTGGTTTAATTTTAGCTATTTCTGATAGATGTTAGGCTTATTTTCTGCATTCAATTGTTGAGTTTTAACCAAATTTTACTCACTGCTAACCCTAAATGACTGATCTTAAGTATATTGCAATTTAACCCGGTGGATTCAATATAATATACTTTCTTCATCTATTTTTATTTCTTGTTCAATGTTTTTTATAATGGTTAAAGAAACAATTAAATCTCGTAAATTATAACAAAATACAATTATAACAAAATACTCTTTAATTTAATTAAATTACTCCTTATGTCATCTCGTTATTCCGATTTTAATTTTCACTCTATTAATTTGTTACTAAAATAGTTACTGTGTTTAGTAGATATAAGAATAAAATGAGAAAAAAAAATAATTAAATTATCCTCTACATCAAACCAATAAAAAAAGGTCATTCCATATATCCCCTATAAGCAAGTCTTATCCTAATGTTTTTTTTTTTTTTTTAAGAAGAGTCTTATCCTAATGCTTAGATCTCACAAATAGTAATATATGTACAAAGCTGGTTCAACCACATTTTAGCATGAAAAACTACTCTCCGTGTAAAAGAGGGCAATCTGAAAAAAATACAAACAAGAAAAAAAAAAAATCAAAACTACTCCATGAAATCTTTTGGCAAGCTACTTCTTCTTCTTGCTCTTTTTACGACAACCTTCTTCTTCATCCCAAGGCACCATTTAACCCGGTCAATCCATCCCGGTCAATCCATCAAAGACGGTGAGACTCTAGTTTCAGCTGGTGGAAAGTTCGAGCTGGGATTTTTCGCACCAGAAAATTCAAAAAAGCGTTATTTAGGAATATGGTACAAAGATCCATCAGCTTATGCAGTAATTTGGGTAGCAAACAGAGAAACCCCACTTACTGATCGCTCAGGAGTTTTGCTTATCTCTAACCAAAGCCTTCTAATCATCTTAAATAGCAAAAATAACACAGTTTGGTCATCTAACAAAACAAGCAATGTCCAAAATCCAGTTGTGCAGCTTTTGGACTCGGGAAATTTAGTTGTCCAAGACAGGAATGGTACAGGAATCGGTACTAATACTAATTTGCTGTGGCAGAGTTTTGATTCTCCATGTGATACATTACTTCCTGGAATGAAAATAGGAAGGAATTTTTTAACTGGTCAAGAGACGTTCCTAACATCTTGGAAGAGTGAAGATAATCCTGGCCACGGCCAATTTTCATTCTGGATAGATCCGGCTGGATTTCCTCAGCTTGTTGTGAGAAATGGAACTTCTAAGCATTACAGACTTGGTTCGTGGAATGGCGTTCGATTTACAGGAACTCCCCTGTTGCCATCATATGTTGATTTCCTCACATATGAATTTGAATTGAATAAAAATGGAGTCTATTATAGTTATAAGGTTGAAGGTACTCTATTGTCCAGGTTATTAATGAATCGATCGGGCTTCTTGGAGAAATTTGTGAGAATAAATCATCCTTGGATACATATATGTTTTGAACCATTACATGAATGTGATACATACTCAGTTTGTGGTGCTAATATGAAATGTAATATTATTGATAATTCTCATACATGTGATTGCTTAGAGGGCTTTATATTGGAATCTTCCAAAAATAGGAGCAATCACTGTGTTCGAAAAACTCCATTGGATTGCAAAAAGGGTTCCGTTTTTCATAAGTATATAGGTTTGAAGTTACCAGATACATCAGATTCTTGGTATGATATGAATATGACACTTGCAGAATGTAAAGAAGAGTGTTCAAAAAACTGTTCTTGCACTGCATATGCAAATTCAAACATCATTGGAGAAGGCAGTGGCTGCGTGCTATGGTTTGGCGAACTGATTGATATGAGATATTACACTGAAGAGATATTACACTCAAGGTGGTCAAGATATCTATATAAAAATGTCCTCTTCAAAACGATCAGGTACATAAAAAACTCTTTTTTTTCCTCTAATTCTTTCAACTTGGCTCCGGGGAGGATTCAAACTCGAAACTCACAGCACTGAATACAGTAAAATCGAGTTTGGGCTCATTGGTCCAAATCTTTCTTTCCACCAAAAAATTTATCTGTTTCAAGAAAAGGAATTAGCTAGTTAGGTTATTGCCATATTATCTCATGAATATACCCACTGAGAATACTTGATTTGCCAATATGTGATTATGAAGGTTATGAAGATGGAGAGGTAAAGATAGGAATGCTTGTGGTGGGGATTATAGGTTGCATAAGGAAAAAGAAACAGAGAAAGCGAGAAAAAGTAAAAGGCAGTTATATAGAATGTTATGAAGATGGAGAGGTAAAGGAAGACATGGAATTGCCAATATTTGATTTGCCTAATATGGTACATAACATATTATCTCTGCAACTACAAAGATCTTCAGTTTCTGTAACAATGGTTTTCAGGGTACATTGACTAATGGGCAAGAAATAGCAGTCAAAAGGCTTTCAAAGAGTTCTGGACAAGGGTTAACAGAGTTCAAAAATGAAGTTATTTTGATTGCAAAACTTCAGCACAGAAATCTTGTTAAACTTCTTGGCTGCTGCATTGAGAAAGATGAAAAAATGTTGATATATGAATTCATGCCGAACAAGAGCTTAGATTTTTTCATTTTCGGTTTGAACTTCTCTCTTGTCTATAATTACTATCTCACAACTTGTTTTATGTTAATCTAGTAAAACATTCTACTAATAGATGACAAATATATCAGATCAAATGAGAAGCAATTTTCTAGATTGGAAAAAGCGCTTTCACATTATTGAGGGAGTTGCCAGAGGGCTTGTTTATCTTCATCAAGACTCTAGACTAAGGATTATACACAGAGATCTCAAAGCAAGCAATGTGTTATTGGATAAGGACATGAATCCCAAGATTTCTGAGAGTGGCAGGAACATAGTAAGTACACATCTGCACTTATTATTCATTTTCAGTTCTCCCCTGTTAGGAATTTCAAATTTAAGATAGCAAAAAATATAGTTCAATTACTATGTTTCATTTTGCAGTGGTTATATGTCGCCGGAGTACGCAGTGGACGGGCTTTTCTCGATGAAATCAGACGTCTTCAGCTTTGGCGTATTAATACTGGAGATAGTAAGTGGAAAGAAAAATAGAGGGTTTTTCCACCAAGAACACAACCACAATCTTCTTGGACATGTAAGAACTTTTGCTGGCACAGTCACTCAATTACTAATTGGAATAAATTTTTAATCTTTATTGTTCTTGATTTTACAGGCATGGAAACTGTGGATAGAAGAGAGGTCAATGGAATTAGTTGATAGAAAGCTAAACAGCGAGTCCACGAAGGCGCATGGTTGTAGTTTGTAATGTTAAGCAGTGAGAGTTTATTGCCACGGAAGCAAGCCCCTGGCTTTTTTTCACAGAAAGGAAAATAACCCTGAAGCAAGTCTTCATCACCAACCATGGAACATACCTCATAAAATGAAGATGAGTAAACAACTAAGCTGCTGCAAAGGTAGAAATATTAAATGAATATAACAGTCTATCGGTTGAAACTGTCTCAACATAATTTGCATACTAGAATTAAGGATTAAAGATTTAAGGATTTAAGATTAAAAAAAATGTCAGACTTATAAGTTAAGAACTTGAGGAAGGTATGGCATATTGGTGGAATAAAGCTTTATTGCAAAATTTGTATAATTATTTTGTATAGTCTCAAAATGAGAACCTCCTTTACGACAGTGCAAAAATTTGTTTTCATTTAGATTTCATATTTTTTAAAAAAATATTAATAATAAAAATAAAATTTTAAATGCTCTTTGAATATCCAATTATATTAGGTGACATGTTTATATACGTGGAAATATGATATTTAAGACATGTGTAATTAAAAATAATTGAGAAATATTTATTTTTTTTTACTAAATTAATAATAATTTGACTATATATATTATTAACCTAAAAAATTACAAAAAATTTTTTTATCAGCAATTAGAATATTAAAATTTTATTAAGGGTAGTAAAAGGACAAAACTTATCAAAACGGAGTAATTACTCTCAAACCAATTAAGACAAGAGAAGAGTACTAGAAATGCTAGAACTGCTGATAGTACAAAGAGAGAAAATCCAAAAAATAAAAATAAAAATAAAAATAAAAAAATAAAGTTAAATCCAAGCTAAGGATAGACTTGAAGCAGTAACACCTGGTTGAGTTGTCAGACTCTATAATCAAAGGAAAATTCTTAACATTTGAATACTAATAAAATCTTAGTTAAAAATCTGCAACATGATTGTCATCTCTTGAAATAAAAACAAACTGAACCTGGTTGAGTTGATACAAAATCTTATTAAACTTGTTAAACTTCTCCCACCATTTCCATGCCCTCATCATGTTCTGAATAATCCAGCATAAAGCATTTTTAGAGTCAGACTCTATAATCAAAGGAAAATTCTTAATAAAACTCAACAGCCGAAAAGAAAGCAAGGAGTTCCGTCTTATTCGAATCCAAAATACCGACTGAATGAAAAAAAATACATTTAACTACTCGGTTGTCATACCTTAGCACGCCTCTAACCCCTACTGGACCCAGCTTACTAGAAGAATTAGGATTTTTTTTCATGCTAAAAATATAGACAAATAAAAAATATAAAATAAAAAATTATATTTTATTAATTTAATTTTTATATCATACTTGGAGATTTTTTTGGTAAATAACAAAATTAAATACCTAATTAATAAACTAAATCTAACTTAACTTTTTTAAGAAACGAAGTACTTATCTATGCTTTTAGTATGTAGGTGCATTTAACAAATCGGGAAAAAGAAAAAGACTAATAATAATTAATCATTGACTTCCAATAATAATCCAGCTTGTAAGATGTGTAATTTTCTTATTTGATGTCAAACACTTTACTAATAAAAAATTATGTCTAAAATGGCTAAGAGCACTTTTTTGTACCGTTCTAAACAAAGCAAATGACATCCTAACCTAAATAGACAAAACAAATATCCTTATAACAATTCAGATTTTAAATCTTAACCCTCAACCCCTCTTTAATTATTAACCTCTTTTTACAATTTTCTTCAGAAATAATTGAGAATTGGCTACAAAACCAAATATAAAAATCGACATACCTTGATTAAGGGAGTATTAAATTCTTACAAGTAATAGATAAACAATTGCAATAAATATAGAAAAATCCAACAATGAGAAATTTAAGAGAAAAATAGTTATTCTTTAATTGTTCTCATATACTTTTACTATAAGCAACATATTTATGTCTCTATGTTAGCAACCTATCCATTAACAGGTGATACTCTTCTTTGTGAAAAATGCAAAGCAGTAAAAAATCTAAGACTATTTATTCTCGTGATAATTACTTAATGTATATCTATAATATATATAGAAAGTGATGGTGGAAAGAATTAAAGATTGTCAAAAAATGCTCGCTACTAGTTATGAAATTGAATAAAGATATTACTTGATTTTTAATTTGATTGGATTGTAGATAACAAGATATTTTAATTTAATTACATATGATTTTATTTTAATTGCTAAAGTCTATTTGGATAATTTAAGAAATTATATTATATAACCATATAAGGTATACATATATGGATATATTTTTTCGTTTTTCTTTTTTCATTTCCATAATCGAAGAATAAACAATCAAAATACTAGATTTACGATTAATGGTAATACGTCCATATACATATATATGTTTTCTAAGTTCAAACGGTAGAAATACAATGTATTTATATACAAAGTATATATTTAATTGTAAAATATATATATACTGTATTAATTGATTTTTCATAATGAATATATATATATATATATATCTTGTTATCGGTATTTAATCCAAACAAAGTGAGAGTCTAACTTGTCTTTTGAAAAATAAAAATAAATATCT